TCCTATATCTGTCTTTAATTAAGAGGTCACTGTCACACAAGATTTTTGAGGCAGTCATCTATATTAGCATGTGATTAATCAAAGAGTGCACTTACCACCATGAATTGGGTCCTATGTCATAGGATTATTTTTGCCCTTTCCCCAAAGAATCACTTGAAGTAATAGGCTTTTTAAGGCACATTTTAACAAAAACCTATCATACACCCAGCTTAAAAATGGAAGCTCCACTTGGTTATAATAATAATAATATATACATACTAGGTAAAGTGTGGTTTACCAAATAGGCAATTGTCTCTTTCTTGAGGATAAAGTTGTATGAGAAACTTGACTCTTTATTTGCTTATCCAAAGGAAAACATTTCATAAAAATGATTCAATATTAGATCTGTAAGAATAACCCACATGAGCCAGAGCTGTTAGCAACAGCTGAACAGAATAACACTCCGGAAGTTGGGGAGAAGACTTCCCTGGGACTCTAGGCTCCTAACCATCCACATTCCTGAATAGAAAATGTGAAGAAGGGAATTGGGATCCCTTAACGATTTTGAGAAATATCCTTTCCATATGCACAGGCCAGACCCTGGGAGGCTCAAATCTTAAACCCCAGTGAATTACCATCTCAAATTTTAGTTACCACCTTTAAAGCAACAGGATTTGGGAACAGGGAGGAAAGAAAAAGGATGGAAGCCACTGAGATAAGGAGGAGAGTTTTAGGGGCAAGTTGTTTTAGGGACTGTGTACATTTTGTTAGGACCAACTCTGCAGTCTCTAGGAGGTTCTGCATTTTATAAAAAAAATTTTTTTAATGCCCAGCAAGTATGCCATAGAGTACTAACTTTGGGATGACATAGAATTATCTACTTGGAATGATTTGGTAGAGGAGTAGAAGTGAAAAAACTTCTTGGAAACAACTGCAAAGCTGTGCTCTTTTGTCTGGCTATCCTTTCTGACTATTGCTAGGATCTTCAGGATGGCTCTTCAGCCTCACAGAGCATGCTGGGTGCAAGCTGAGCTCATCAAACTGTGAGAACAGGTAAAGGATTTAAGGTACATTATCACAGGTGAAAAGGTGATTCAGGTGACAAAGATAGCCAACGGGATTAAGTTCCATGGTAGAGATTTGCTCTATTCACTGTGGCCATGGAGCAATAAAAAACTTGTCCTAGTAAGATTTTAAAGGCAGCACAATAGGCCACTGCACAGGGTCCAAATGTACAGAATGGCATCTGTATTTCAGGCCACAGGTGCAATTCCCTACATTTGGCAAACCTTTGGCCACTAATGTTACTTTAGCCCCAAGTGGCAGGTACAGAGAAAGCTCTAGAAACCAGGCCTCAGTGGCATTCTTATTTCTCCCTGGTGATCGGCACCATTTTGGAAATCTGGTCCCAAAAGTTCTAAAGAGTAATAATGCAGAAGTCATCTGTCTGTAAAAAGTGATTTAGAGGTGTATACTGAGGTAAAGGGCTCCATAAAAACTCTTGATTAGAAGTACAACCACAGTAATAGAAATTTTTAGGTAAGTCTGGTTCTAAAATTATTATACAAAACTGTTTATACCCGTTATAAATAGGGGACAGTTCTTATTGCTCCTGGAGCTTGCAGCCCCATTCTGTTCCAACTCCACTGAAAAATGACTGATTCTCTCAACAACTGGTAGCAAAGATTCCCTAATTTACAAAGTCATTACCAATGCATCAGTTTGATTAATTTCTGATTGCCATAAGATATGAGCTACACTAAGCACGTCCTTGACACCAAGTACAGAAAAGAGTTTAGAAAAGTCATCAAAGTTCAGTTCAATGAGAAAAAAAAAAACCATGAAAAAACGCAAAATATGTACAATTCCTGGTAGTTCTCACATGGGATTTTCCTAACTACTAATCTTTGAAGTTTACATTTGTGTAATGAAAGTACAGTGGATTTTACTGCATTGTTAATATACAAGCTTTTGCTTCAAAGTGCTTACTTTATTTAAAAAAAGATCAAGAGGGTTGCAGGAGTGTTTTCAACAAGTCCGTGTCATATGTTCCAATCTCCTTCTTCGCCTTCAGTGCAACATGGTGCGGCAGCCTGGGCGAAAAGGTCTGACTTCACATGTGTTCCTAAAACCTCACCTACAGCAGGACTCGAGGGGTCCCATTAGGGGTAGCCCCCTTCTTTTTCTGTAGCCGATTCTGAGCCTTTCGAGATTTCACCACTTTCATCCTCACCTCAAAAACTTCATGGATGGCCTTCCGAAAACAATGAAAATTATAGTCAATAAGCCCTGAAGAAAAGAACAAAAATATTTATAAATGTTAGTCTTTTCATATCTGCAATGTCCAGGATCAACCAGTAGGGGGTGGTAGAGGCTCAGTTGTGACCTAATGGGACAGCTTCCCTAGGTCGGCCCTGGGCTGCAGGAACTGAGAGGGCTGTTTTTTTTTTTTTTTTTTTTT